TATATATATATGACTAAATCAATATGAAGCAAACAAATGGAAATTGTAAATTGAGCTATAGGATAAGACCAGTTTGAGATTTCCCGAAGAATTTTCATCACATTACTAAAAACAAATGCATACTACTCAACTGCTTTGAGATCAAGTGGTATCACTCGAAATCCTGAAGGTAACAAAGGGGCATCATCTACAAATGATTGATCAGCAGGTGAAAAAATAAGTTGTGCACAAGCACCAACCGAATTCTCATCAATCCCTTCGCAAAGCTGCCAAAACAGAAAGGTAATGTCCGAATGGTTTTAGCGAATTCATGTAATATAGTCAACAATTCAAAAATAGCCGACCTGTAACAGATACATGTCCCTGGAAAGAACATTATCCTGGCTGAATGCATGGCTTTCTACCCTGATCACTTCTAAGAACTGCAACCCAAACATGACAAACAATTTACAATAAACATATCAGGCGTTAAAAAAAGGGAAATTTACATATCTGGCACATAATTCTTATGTATGTACATATCTCACCAAAACATTCATAAATATATGCATGAAAATATGTATTTCACTTTGAAAAAATAATATTATGTGATATTAATGATTTCAGTGCTATGTTTGTAATTATAAAAGTTTATGTGTGAGAAATGTAAATACAAAAAAATTGTTTACCATGTGTGTAAATGCCCTAATAAAAAAACTATGAAGAGGGCAAACATAAATTCATGCATAACTACCTCTTCATTTTCCACGGTATAAGCAAGAGGGATAATGACATGGTTAGCCAAAAACCCACTGTTGTCACTGAAACCGGGAACTTCATATGTACTACCTCTCAATGATGCAGTCGAATAAGCATCAATAAGGGAGTCAGCCCACTCTGAACGGTGTTCCCTCAAAAAGCGGATAAGTAACGCAGGTGGCACATTCTGCAACGTATCAAAGATCAAACACCACAATCTACACATGATAAAACAGCAGACACTGTAAACAATTTGCTCCATACATCATACCCTTATCCCACTACTTGCAGCAGGATTTATGAATCGTGGTCCTTTCAAATGAGGTGTCAACTTTATTTAAGTACACAAGTCATTTAGACATTTTTCGGATCAAGTTTTCTTCAGACTTTAGATATTTCCTTTTTAAATCTTGTAAATTAATTAAATCAACTCGGCATACTAGTGCATCTTTTGCCCACCTACCTACATGCTCAATCAGCAGCTTATAGCCTATTTTTCACAACTTCTCATCTTCAGTAAGTGCTACTCACACCAGTTATCCAATATCAAAATTTATACCCCTATAATTCTTGATATTGCTTCACCAAGAACATTCAATTGAACTATAATGCTGTAGGAGAAGCTTGCAGTAGAATATATGATAACTTATAAAAATATAAAAAAATAAATAATAAACCTGAAGTAGCATTGATGCTTTAGCACAAACGATGCCACCACCCAAGGATGAGAGCATTGCAAATCTGGAATGACTTCCAAATAGCTTGCTAGGAGATGAATTAATAGTTATTGTCACGTCCTCCACACCATCGTATCCCAGGAAAGACCACCCATCATCAGAAAAACCATTAATTGCATCATTAAAACCCCTGCCATGCAATATGATGCTTTTAAAGCAAATTGAAGCAATTGGAATGGATATATTGAAATGAAATGAAACGACTCACCTGCTCAACCTCTGGCTAAAGGTCCTCAAAACGGCAGGTTGACGCCCCCTGACATATGAAGTTTCCCCACATGTTTCTAAGCCAATCTGTCTAATATGGTGTAATGCCTGTGCAATTAATGAGAACTTAATGGACCAATGTAAAATGTACATCAGATGACAGTCCATTTAATATGAAACATACTGAAAGGGTCATCTTCTGAGCTAGTACTGTTGGCGACTCATACAATGGTCGGAGAACCTCAGGCACACTTGAAGCCTAGGCAAAAGCTTTTTATAAGTGAAAAGTTCAGTGCTTAAACAACGATAGAATTCAATGTGGAAACTCACATCCAAATCTACATGATCAACAATATGAATCATTGCACCAGAGCCCTCGCATGGTCGGATTAGATACCCACTGGGAAGCATCTCAGCTCTGACAAAACTAGAGTTGGTTGGCCCAGCTAGACCACCAGTTGAAGGGGTCAAAGATCTCTCACATATCTACAGAAAAAAGATGCAGCTTTCAAACCAGGATATCTCAGTGTGCAAACCAGACCATAAAGTACCAGAGTACTTAAGTTAGGCTATGAGAAGATTATCAAAGGGAGCAAGACCGCACAAGCTTGCTCAGTTTAACATATAATCACTCCATCGTAAGCTTAAAAAGAGAAAATAATTGTATATTTCATAAATTACATCAACTCACCACAAGGCTGCCATCTTCTAAAGATGCACTATATCTAAGCGTCCAAAAATCACGTGCCAAAGCCAAAGTAGTAGGTGCATATGTCTGATAACAAAAAGTGTAAATGAATGAAAATAACAAGAACATGCACCAAGACAGATGTAACATTTAGTAATTCAATGTAAATACCTGCATGTATAAAATTTCAATATGTCCACCTTTTGCAGTATGGAAAACTTTCAATACATCAAGGGACCGGCAATCACGATACCAAGTTGAGCGATCCTTCAATATATCTACAACCTACGGAATATAGAACATGAATTGTAGATCAAAAGAGATGCTGACATAGATGCTCTGATAAGGTACCTTATACCTTTTTGGGTTCTAAACTCACAAAACCACAAGCTCGAGCTGCTAGACCACTACAATTGCGGGAAATGGCGATGATTCCAATAGAATCCGGACCAGGCTGTTTAAAAAGTATTTTGGGTTGAGAGAAATAGATAGAACAATCACACAAAAGAAGTTGAGGCGTACATACCTTCATCCCGACCATCTGAACCCAATCAATGGCAGTTCCGGTAGCTTTTTTGAGGAACTCCACCAATGTTTCCTCAGCAATTGCGAGTAGACTGTGGAAGAAAATGAAGGTAAAAAAAAAATTAAAATTTTCATAGAATAACATGAAAACAATGGCAGGAATAGCTGCCAATATATTACCCATCTGTATTGTTTGCATCCATTAATTGAGGCTGAGGAGTAGGATTTTGCAGCTGGTTACCCAAAATCATAGATTCACAAGTAGTATCTGTGGCAGCCAAAGATGTCTGTCAAATGGGACAATGGTTTAGAATCTTACTTGGAAAAAAAAAAGAATGAAAATAATGTAAAAAATAAATACACTTTTTTTTAATTTCATAAATTACTAGCGTGATAGAGGAATTCAGAACAATAAGTTTTTCTTTTTTTTGACATCATGAAAACTTATTAAAAAAAAAAAGGCCAATACAATATAATTTGGTCAGCCTTGCTTTAGCACAGAGGAAAATAAAAGCAATAGAGTAGCCAATAGATCAATGCCAAACATATTTTGAGGAAAAATCAATACAAAGGGCGTCACATTCAAGGGACGCGTGTAAAAGAAAGAACAGAATCAGCGACATTGAAGACTGGCAAGATTGGAAATCGATGAGCAGAGATAAGAAACAATGAACTACAATGTCCTCTTACGCTATTAAGTTGCTGGTGCAAGAAGGTATTGTCATAAACTAGCTGTGAAACCTGCTTCTGCAACCGATCATTCTCCTCCATCAGAAGCTTGTTCATGGCAGTGAGCTTTCTGTTTACAGTCTGCAGATTAGAAGCTTCCTTCCTTTGTTTTTCCCGACATCTACAAAACACTCCGAAATTAATAAGAAAACACAAGATGATTGGCATTTTGAATGTGCTTCTAAAACAAATGATTAGTGAAACGACATCCTGAGCTTGAACTTCATCTGCGAAAATGCGCAATACATGAAACGCACGAAAGTCGCGAACTAATAAAAAATATCAGGAAAACCAGTCAAAAGGATCGCTGCAGGACAAAAAAAGAGTATCAATCTCGTTTTCACTCTTTTATACCTACAAAAAACCAACAAATCCTTCAATTGCAGCGGGCTTCATCATAAATCGTTCTCCGTAAACAAATATACCAACAAAACAAGAAAAATACGAATCACTACAGAGGAGAACAAAACAACAACACTGCAAATAAATAATAATAATATAAATACAACAAAAACAAACAAGAAGCCGATCGTCGTGCTAATGTCGTTGCGATTTACCTGCGGTTCTGAAACCAAACTTTGATCTGCTTCGGCTCGATTTTGGAAAGTATAGGGCACTCCCTGATGAGTTGCTGCCTCCTCAGAGAGCTCGGCTTCGGACACTCATTGTAAACCCTCTCAAGTGCCTCCACCTGCTCTGGCGTGTACCTAACATACTTCCCAGAGTCCATTATTTGTTTCCCTCCATCCTTGTCGCTAAAAACCATCGGCAACTCCACCAACCCTAACGGCACACCGAGCTGGAAGACGAAACCCTAGAATCAATTGCTGCTGCACTTCCTGGGGACTACTTTACCGCCTCTACAGAATCTCGACAAAGACACCTTCCGGCATCACAAGCTCAGGCCTCCCACTCTCCCCGGCGCCTGAGAGTTATCGCCGATGAACATGAGGCATTCAACCGAATAGTTTTCCGATCAAGGGCGAACAATAAATACTTGAAAAGGGTGACAGAGAGAAGCAGTTCTAGCTGGGGAAGTGGGGCAACGAGCAAAATTACGAAAGCTTCTGTAAAGATATTATATTACTATTATTATTATCGAGTTTGATTTTATTTTTTATTTATTGCGTGCCGTGAATAAATTTGAAGATTAGAGGGATTAATGAGAGAATTTTGATAATAATTTTTAAGCACGTTTGTTGTAATAATTATTTTAATCATTTAAATTTATATATAAATTTTTAATTATATAATTTTTAGATGATTTAATATCATGATTTTTATGTCTTTAACAAATTTCAATTAACTCAATGTATGGTATGAATTTCGATGCAAATCTTATAGAAATAAATATTCTAACTTTGATAAAAATTCATTATTAATAGTCAATCTGACCGGCCCGACGAGATGAACCCAACGATGCTAAGATCAATCTGATCTGAGTTAAATCAACCCAGATCAAGCTAATAAACCTTTTTTAAAAAAATTACGGCATAATTGAAAAGTCAAAATGGTGTCACATATGATATTCTTATAGTCAAATCGAGCTTATTTTGGCAAGACGACTCCAACGAGCCCATGATCACTCAATTTCGACATAATTAAGGTAGTTAAAATTCATAAAACGACATCTGATCGAGAGGATATCTCCTGATTGTCTGATCGAGAGCATTTTGGATTTTTGTTTTATTTGCAATTTATACTATATAAATAGAGCCCCAAGCCCCTCATGAGAGGGGATGGAGACTCAGAACCAAAGAAAGTAGAGCATGCATAAAAGGGAGTTGCAACACAACCTCCTGCATCGTCGTCTCCAGTCTTCATTGCCTGCAAGCCGCCATCGCTTTCTCTAGCAGTCGCTGTCGTCTCTGACAATCGCCGCTCTTACGATCGCTGCTGCGGTGTCCTTTTGGTCGCTGCTACCTCTAGCCCCCGTCGTTGTTTCATGGCACCTTCGCTCTGTAGTTGTTTTCTTTCATCTGCAGTCGCCATTAACATGTCGTCGCCCCCCTTCAGTCATTGTCGTCTTGGGCCATCCCCTTTAGGCCATCATCGCCCTCCAATTTCACCGCCTCCTATTGTCACCGTTTTAAGTTGTCGCCTCCCGATTATCGTCATCTTAGGCCACTGCCTTCGTCTTGGGTCGTTACTGTCACCAGGTCCCTACCACAGATTCATCCGCACATAAACGTTGTAATATGAGAAATTGTATAACTATTTCTCGCATGTGAGATAAAAGGTTGTGCAAGTAATCGCTAACTCATAGTGGAACATTTCAATGGAGCAAGCCATTATGGTTTTTTTCTTTTTTGGTTTTTCACTTAAAAACTTATGGTGTCGTCAATGTTTTTTTACTTCTACCTAAGTGTGTGTTGGATTTTCGTACTATACTAAGACGATAATCCCTTAATCTGCCGCCGCAGATTTTCTAGCACGTATTAATATTCAATATTTTAGATGTTTGATATATAAAAATCTCTAAATTTTATAATATTATAATATATATA